ATGAGATGGGAAGATATTAGCGTAAAATCCTTGGAATCTGCGAGAAGCGATGGAGAGAGATCAACAGTTGAAGGACACATGATTGTCTACAGCGGACACGAGCACAAGCATGAGCGTGGAGTTGGATTTATGGTACACAAGACCACTGTGAGTGCAGTCATTGGTTTCTGACTAGTGCGTAAAAATATGATTACCATTCCCTAAGTGCATCTCCAATAGCCACCATGCTCCAACATCTGACCGTTATGCTGAAGAAGTGGATGCATTCTACGACCAGCTTCACACTCTCATTGACCAGACACACAAGGAGACTGGAACGCAATGGCAGGAGAAGACACACCGTCAGATAAATGAATAGCGAGAAGTCTGTGGTCCATACTGTTTGAATAATTCAGAGAGAGAGAGAGAGAGAGAGAGAGAGAGAGAGAGAGAGAGAGAGAGAGAGAGAGAGAGAGAGAGAGAGAGAGAGAGAGAGAGAGAGAGAGAGAGACTGAAGCAGCTGGACTTTGCCATCTACAATAACCTTGTGCTAACAAACACCCTTGGACCGCATAAACATCTAGAATATAGATTTGGCATAGTCTAGGCAGTAAACACCGCAACCCAATTGACCACTTTTTGGTGAAGAAGCGCTTTCAGTCTATCTTCAACATTGCCAGAACACGTAGCTGCCAGAGAGCTGACATAGGAAGCGACCATGACCTGCTAATAATGACTATCAAAAATTCATCTGAGGACAATCAAGAAACCAAGACAAGTTAGAATCAGGTTTGAAATTGAAAGACTTGAAGATCGATGCATGGCACAATCAGCTGAAGCATCACTAGGTGGCTATGTGAGCCACTCACATTTATGGGTGCTTAAGAAACAAAAGCTCAATGTTCTTGCTCACCGCCTTCAACACGGCAGTAATATGCACATCCAGCGAGATCCTCGGATAAAGAAGCCCTAAAGTCACAGCATATATCTTCGACCTCTCTGATGTGAGGAGAAATCTGATGAGACGAAGGAGCAGAAACTACAAAGCGATTAGTAACAGGATTAGGAATTTTAAAGAGAGCGATGGAAAGCTGGTTAGGGACCAATGTAAGAAAATTGGGTAAAGCCTGAACCAGAATAATATTTTTTAAAAATTATTGGTGAAAGACCTGGCAACAATGAAACAAGGGAGATCTACCATGATCTAAAACAACAGTGGTACGAGTTTCACAAAAGACCAAGAGATTCTTAACAGATTGACTAAATTCTATGTTGATCTTTACAACCAGGCTACTTCTGGAGACAAAGCTGTACTAAACTTCCCACTGACCACTAAAGAAGGCAGACAGCTCAGGTATATAATATATCAGCAGAACATGTTTAAGCAGGAGGATCCTCCATGATAGATGTCCTCACAACAATCTGCAACAAAATCTGGTAAACAGGAGAATGTCCCACCCCATGGACCAAGTCTCTGATTCTCACTCTCCCTAAGTAACGAAATCTTCCGCTGTACGAGAACTACAGAACTATGAGCCTCATCCGAGCAAGGTTATGCTTACGATTATCCTCAACATACCGAAATCAGAAGAAAAGCACATTAATGCTGAAGAACGGACTGGTTTCAATGCTGAAGAACAGGATGGTTGCAGAGCAGGACGTAACATTATGGAATAGATCTTCAATAATAGAATCTCTGTGAAAAATGTCTGTAGCATCAACAGGATCTCTGTCATGTCTTCATTGATTTCAAGAAGGCTTTCGACAAGATAAGGCATTCAGCGTTGTGGACAACCATGCTGATATACAACATAAACGCAAAACTAATCAGCATCATATAAAACCTGTATGACAACGCGACTAGCTCAGTTCTTGTCAATTAATTCAGAACCACAGTCGGAGTAAGATAGGGTTGCCTCCTCCAACCCATTCTCTTCAACATCTAATTGGAAAGAATCATGCCCAATGCCTTGGAACATCATGATGAATGTCAGTGTTGGAAGCAGAAAAATCGCCAATCTGCGCTTCGCTGATCATTTCGATGGCTTAGCAGGAAATGAATAAGAACTGGAAACGTTAGTGAACCTTCAGTTGCAATGGTTGGAAGAACAGCAACATTACGCTTGGATCCAAGATCAATCCTATGTGCTCCATCGTTATGTTCATATTCCTGTATGCATATGGGACATGGTCCCTGATAGAAGATCTATAGAGAAGATTCCATGCCGTAGAGATTAGATTTATAGAAGGATCCATAACATCTCATATTTAGATTACATTTCTAATGAGGAGGTACGTACTAGAATCTAATGTGTATCTGGATCATATGAAGATCTGCTCACCACTTTAAAGAAACGCAAACAATGATGGTATGTTCACGTCTCACACTCAACTATCCTGTCGAAGACAATTTTGCATGGTACAGTGAGCGGAAAGAGCAAACGAGGCAGACAAAAGAAGAGATGGGACGATAACATCAAAGACTGAACTGGTATGAACTTCTTAAAGTCCCAAAAAGCAGTGAAGAACATGGCAAAGTGGAGAGAGATTGTCGCCTTGTCATCAGTGGTGTCCGTATTACCAGCCAGGTTACGGGAGAAATTATGAAAATTATTATAATGAACGATAAATGAAAATGTGAGAAGAAAATATTTTATTATGAAGTGAATCCAAATTAATCCTGACGAAGTTCTATTAAAGTTCAAAATAATAAATAGTTCACCATAAATTTCAGAATCGGAAATGTGCTGGTCCACCAAGAATCGTGACGATGTCAAATAGTGTTGTCTAGAACTATTTTGAATAATTCACGATAGTTCCAAATCAATATTATTATTGAATGAACAATTTTTATTTCCAATGGATAATGCCAATAAATGTTTTTTCCCTCTCAATAATTAACTAAAAACAACATACAATACGTCTGCAGACTTGATATTACAACAAGAACATAAAAAATAAGAATGATCAAAGTTGTCCGTCTTCAAGTATTTATATACTAACAAGCGGGTGAAAACACACCTTGCTACTATTTACCTGAGTGACATATCAGTATTTTCAACATCATAGAAGAATTAACTTGATTTAACCCATTCAATGGAGGTTAACTTAATTCATCAAAGGAACAACCTGACCGACTTGTCCAATGGGAAAAATCCCCAAACTCGTAAACATATTTGCTACTAATTCTATTATTAGTAACCGTCACAACTTACCTAAGCATCTAATGATAGATCCTATGCAATAGTATGTTCTTTGATATCTTAAAAAAGACCATATGCACGTACACCAATTCTAACTATAGATAACCACTACAATTTAAATCCATGAAACAAATGTTAAAAATTAGACAAAATGTGCAATAAGTTACAGAAGATATATATATATATATATATATATATATATATATATATATATATATATATATATATATATATATATATATATAATTCTGCACGTGTTATCGGTGGTATCAGTGACGCATACCTTTTGACTAATATGTCTAGCTAGGTCAAGCTTCGCACACCGATACATATTTTCTGCCATCCACCTTGAAGACTACAGCGTCGGATATTCCATTCATACAGATTCGGATCATTATCACCTTTTGCACTTTTGTGGATGGGATTCACGCGTATTTCTGTAATCATAAAAATACATAATTGTATATTTAAAATGCTTTTTTTTTGCAATCAATATGCATTACTACTTGATTACATTTTCATTAAATATTACCAAAAACTTGAACTGTTATTCAGTTTGATGTGCATGGATGATATCAACTGATAAAAGTGGGAAAATATTTAAACACAAAGAAAAACAAAACCTAATTAGGTGTTTTTTTAATTTATTGTAAAAAAAACATCCGAACGCTTCTAATTGTTAATTACTTTTTGATTGGTACTAACAACTATAACAAGTAGTAGAACATAAATAATAACTCTGCTTAATATTATCATTGTGATTGACACTAAAGTAAAAAAAAATAAAAGCGTCCGTAATTGACAAGAATTTAAGTAACGTTCTTGTATAATAAAAATGAGCTACCCCTTGTTAAAACAGTGTCCAGGGGGAACCAAAAATTAAGTACTTTTAATGAAATTTAGGCACTTTATATCTACATTTTTCAGGTTTTCTGTTCCTAAATGATCTCAACACTGATATTTGTATATTGATGTAAAATAAGTCAGCTTACAAGCTTGATATAATGGGGGTGGAGATAGGGTGGTGGTAGAGTATAAATTATAATACTCTTGTTTATCACTTTGTTTATTGACTCGGGTCGTATCATGATCGAGCATTAATGTGAGCACGAGGGACCATTGACAATATACTCAATCAGGTCAACGGATAAGGTCAAATAATAAAGCTGTTTTATTGTGATTATGTTACATGATTTTCAAAAACCAAATCATTACAGTGTTAACAACGACTGCTGCTAACACGGGTGAGACAAACGCTACAGATGTGTGTGGTCTTGTGGGTTTTAACGCAGTTTTCCAGCAAATGATCGGCTCTGTATTTTCGAAACAGGCATTTTCCCAATAATTTTGAGCATTTTTAATTCGAAACGGTATCGATGTTTTTTGTTTTAAAAGCGTATTAATGCTTGAAGAATATTTCGTGCCAGTCAGGCGCACTAACTACTCACTCACCACGGCTTCTCTATGCAGTAATATTTTGAACTACACTTTAGTTGATTGAGAATAGCAGAACACCCGACGCTCTTCTATTGCACGTTTATATCGAATGTTAAACGAAAATATTCAAAGCCAGAGGATGTGATGTGATTATGATTTTCAACGTAGCTTTAACAATTTTTCAGTTATATCGCTACGAAGTCTGCAGTGTGGCAATTTATAGTGATGTCTAGCACTGGGGAATCATGCCGCAGACATGTAGCATGATGTCCCACCCAGTCACATTATCCTGACACCAGACCGACCAGACCTAACACTAACCTCTTTGTGCTGAGCGTCAAGCAAGGTAGCTGTTATTACCATTTTTATAAGTCTTTGGTATATTTCGACCGGGGATTGAACCCACGACCTTCCGCATCCGAGACGGACGCTCTAGCCACTAGGCCAGCGGTTCAAAGCCAGAGAGAGAGGGGGGGTGCGCTTTGGGGTGGGGGAGGAGGAGGCATCAAAAACTCCAAAACTCATCAAACGACTTACGCAAGCCAAACTCTGAAATCGGCTCTCTTCTTTCGCTCCGGAAAATATCGAATGACAATCACAGATAGGTCTAAACCATTAGTAGCTCTATTAATATCTTGATGCATGTGAATTTTAATGTACGATTCTAGTAACGTAACTTACCATGAAAACTCGAATCGCTGATCATCTTTATGATAAACTCCAAACCTCAGTCTCTGGAGAAAAGGTTAGGGAACGTATATGAAACAAGTATATATAAAATTTCAATCACAGTATGATGTTATACATCAAATAATTTCTATTTCTTCATCAGTCCTATTGATGCATAACATATTGGCGGGTGGGGGAGAGTTAAAAATTTTGGTAGAGATTAAATAGCACATACATTTATTCAGAGAAGCATATATTTGGAAAGTCTCACAGGCGCGAAAATTCAGCAAAATGATCGTTTTCCATGACATGTATATGGTTACATGTATTTCCGGGAAACGTCTAAATAAATTGAGTATGACCATGAAATAAAACCAGAAAAATCCCATAGAAAGCTTGTTACTACTCACGTGTCTTTTGTGTATTTTTTGGTTATAAAAAAAAGTACATGAGTTTAATGTATGAATAACACAAAGAGACGACTGGTTCGACTGGTTCTTAACAGTCGGTTGCTATATTGTTTGTATTGAATTGACGATGAAATAAATGACAGACGAATATTAACGTGTCATGCATTGTTTATTCTTAATTTGGAAAATTTTAATAAATAAAAATATTACTTGTCTGTTTAACGACATGTTGCCAATTAAAAGATGAGAAATAATGGTGACAATATGAGGCAGGAGGAAGAAAGTTAACGTAAAACAGCTGCCCATTACCACTACCCGGATGTCAGCTCAATTTTCAGTTTCATTCCGGAAAATATTTAATGAAAGCGAAGAGTCGCTCTTAAAAAGTCACGATCAACCGAATCTTGTAATTAGTCTCTCTGCCTCTGTCTCTATAGCGCGCACGCGCTTGCATTCGTACTAAATTATACGAAAGTCTGCGGAACATTTACTAAGAATAAATCATACAATTTCGGCAAAGAATCAATCACTAATTTTGATTTAATTTGCTTTGTGCAATATCAGCAAATTGACTTTCACAACTTAAAGAGTCTAACGTAGATGCTGACAACTGTTTTAACTATAGATTCCTCAATAAAAAGACCTCGCAAATTTTTGGTTACAATTTGCGTGAAAAGGGGGTTATGCATCATTGACACACTTGTCACGCAGGTCGTATCAATACCTTGTGAACTTTTTGTTTTTACTACCAACTGAACATGTGGACAGGTACAGAAACTTGTGCTTGTCATTATTACAGGGCTTGGTTTGTTCAATACGACTCCCACTGTACTAATTTACCCCAAACAATAACGAGATTAAGGACTGAATCTGGTGTGTACATGTGATGGGCTTATAATGAGCCACCTTGTTGACACAAATAGTTCGTTTAGGTGAAATATGTGCGCTTCCGAATGCATATAAAAAAGCCTGAATTTTGACCTCGCCATGTTTCGTGCTAGTAGAGTACAAATGTCCTACAGATGACACTGATTCATAAATCTGCATCAAAGTCGTCACCTACTGACCGAAGATCGACTGTCCAGCACACTCACTAGCATCCACCTCAAAGACGTTTTAAGAACTTTGGGGGCCCTAGGCACAAACTTTAACATTAAATGTAACCAGAATTGAGCCTAAATCTCATTTCCATGTGCACGTGTGTCATTTTGTTAAATTTATTAACATAGTACTAAACTGCTAACACAGCCGACACCGAAATTTTGTTTTTGGGCCACCGCAGGGGCCTCTGCTGCACGGAGCTCTAGGCACGTGCCTCGCTTGCATAGTCTTAAAACAGCTCTGAGATCCCCCCCCTCTCTCTCTCTCTCTCTCTCTCTCTCTCTCTCTCTCTCTCTCTCTCTCTCTCTCTCTCTCGATCTCTCGATTCGACTGATCACTGGAGTTTTTTGGGTTCTTTTTATCTGTATAAATGTTTATTTATTTATTTATTTATTTATTTATTTATTTATTTATTTATAGTATATTAGTAATTTTAAATCATGCCCTGTTCCACCTTAATTCCACATTGAAAAGCTATATCTCATGAAGAAACTATTAAAGACGACGCGCGATATTGTTTCAAATGGCGTATTTCGCGTCATCTTTTTGAAATTACTAGATGATTTGTTTCTTGTGCTGTGGGTACCGTCTGTACTTGTTCGCCAGCTGCACACAACATAGACCATGATCTGCCGTCGCATAATGCACGGGCAGACCGTGGTCTTTGTTGCTTAGTATACCGATGACTTTTAACAAATTACTCATAACGGGAGAAAATTATGTTTATCTGAAATAATTGTTCATGCTGTTATGTAACGTGCATCAAAACGTAACGGCGAAAACAACGTTAAGCTAATGTAGGAACCGTGTGCAATGGGTATTATCATTTTTGAACTCAATTATAATGGAATTCCTTGTCATGTCACATGAATTGTCCAAGACAGCAGGGATACATAGGTAAACTTTGCTTCTAAGGAAAATAAGGGGATTCTCTTTGGTCCCATTTCATGAAGTTATAAAATGACCAAAAATGTATTTAAGAAAAGAGTTTACTATTTAAGAACAGACTGGCACGTGGAAAGCATGTTAGAGTTAAAAGTAGAATCGAAAATTAACACCACGATTACAGAAGATACTTTTCTACAGGGCGATTGAATGAGTAAGTTACTACGAAATACACCGGATCTTTGTAGCTATATTCTTAAAGCGTTTGTCTCATTAGCATGACACTATGTGTAATAAAGGTTACATGAATGAGGAGGTGTGACAAGTACAATTGACACAGAAGTTGCGTAAGTGCTGTGGGAGTAAAGCAGAGAAGAGAAACAGGAAGAAGATAAATAAAGTAGACAAGAAAAATGGGAATAAAATAAACGGAGACCAACTTAAGCAAAGCATATAAATGAAACAGGAAGAAAATAAATAGATACGAAATTAAACAAAATAGACCTGAACATTACGACTCTATCGTCCTAAATTACGCTACAGGAAAGAGCGAAAACCAACAAGTTTTGTAAAATTTAACAAATAATTTAATTTCCTAGAATACTAAGTGAAAATTTAGAAAAACAAAACTTAAAGTGTTGCGGATTAAATTCGAAGTAGTCATAAATGTTTTATCACAAGTTCAAAGGTATACAGTTCTAATTGAATTTCAGTGGTATTCAAAATCGGTTCCAATACTGAACGTGTGGATGTGACTTTGGTCTCGAACTTAGTAATATACAAATAACCTGAATTGTGATTATGTGCTAACAGTTTTTTGATGTATCACGATAATGTTCTAGTCTGAAATCATAATTCCAAATTAATATTGGTCCAAACAAATTGTAATAAAATTAAGGAGAAGCGCATTTAGTTTAAGCAATTTGTAGGTTTGTGTGATTACATGTTTGATTACTGGAATTCGGTGCAACGGGAAATATTCCTTAGCACGAAATAATTAGTCCATTATTAGGAGCAAACGTCACGGAGAGAAAGTGTTAGCATGTTTCTAAGATGCCATGGTCAACGAGTAGCGAACTCAGACTCTATCCGCATGACTGTCCCTGTGATGTAGCACTTTAAAAAACATAGTGGTATACATCGGTGTTGTGACTGCAGCGGCAGTAATTATGGTAGGAGACCTGTAAATTACACAATGGAATAATTGAGAAAGGACTCAGAAGGTACTGTTTATGTCGCCATAGTGACAAATGTGATGTAGGTTTACTGGTGTGATGCGCCTTGAAACGGTAGATCCACTGGCCTCAGGTGGGCAGTTTAAATAGTCCCCCGTGTTAGGGATAGTTGTAGAGTTTCTACGGTGTGAACTACTAGCGGAACGGAAAGTTAATGTAGAGAAATAGTGCGGTTTATGATTAATTGGCAAGTTGTAAATAATGTGGTCTTACATTGATTATTGTAAAATTTATGTATAGAATGGACACGTCGGGCTTTCCAACTTACAACTGAAGTTGCATAGAAGTCTTTGTAAATATGGGGTAAACTTATGACTTCTAGCGGGATTCGAGCCAGGATATTAACACCGCTCGGTCAAGCAAAAGAACCTTGGCTTGTAACAGTATTATAGGTGAGCACATTGTATTTCCAGGGAATAATGACTTAAATAAATAATTCCACCCAAACGAAATACTGAACACAACAATAAGACTAATTCTGCCTCAGTTGTTAAATGAAAGAATGACTAATTTTGGAGAAAAAACCCCACAAAAAAACAATATTATTAAAAAAAATGTAGGACACAAAAGCAGAACCAGGGTCAGGGTCAAAAGTTCATTTCTAGAATATTCTAAGTTATCGAAAGATAAAATCTGTTACTAAAATTCATACTACAGAACATGGGAGACATCAGGTGCAACAGCTTCTTCACGGGGAAATTCAATGTTTAGAACCAGACCCAAATAAATATGTTTACCTCCATTGATAATGATCCTACTATTTATCCTTGACTCATCGAAAAATATTAACTATATAGTATTTTAAAACAACCTTTACTGGTCAGATAAACAATGAACTTAATTTTGTACAATCTCAAGACCAAAATACAGTTATACATAAGATATACTCATGGAGAAGACATTAACAAATACAAAGTAAATATAGATAACGAGATAAATAGGAAGGAAATAAGTGGAAGTAAAGATAAACAAACATAAAGACAAGAGATTGAAAAAATAAATGGATACCAAATTAAACAAAGTAGATAAGAGAAACAGGAAGAAATTAATAGAGAAGAATATTAAACCAAGTATACCAGATAAACCTCAAGAATAATAAATGGAGATCAACATTAACAGGGCAGAACAGAGAAACAGGTAGAAAGTGAATGGATATGAA